ATATTGGTGACCCCATTGGTGTCCCTTTCGTTTGTTCGTAGATTTTGTTGTTGAATTGAAAATATGTTGTTAGGCAAAAGTCGATGAGTTCTAGTAGACTTTGACTTCGAAGCTTTGTGTACTTTGTGAGATTTGTGTCGTTGGCGAGGAGCAGGGATATCGTTTCTTTTGCTAACCTTGGTTCGATTGAGGTGAATAATGCTGTTACATCGAAGGATATCATTAGTTCGTCGTTGTTGATTTGAATGTCCTTAATTTGGTCCAGGAATTGTGTAGGGGATTTGATGGAGTGGTTGGATGAATCGACTAAATGTTTCAGTATTCGTGAAATTTCTTTTGATAAATTGTATGTTGGCGTTCCGGGCAGTGCTACAATTGGACGTAGTGGAATGTTTGGTTTGTGTATTTTTGGTCTGCCGTAGAATCGGGGGAGTACTGGTCCATTGGATTTCATTCTGCATTGATCTTGTTTTGTTATTTCTCCTGCTTTGACTAGCTTGTTTAATGTCTTTGAGATTCTGTTGTCCAATTTTTTGACAGGATTTATATCTATCCGTTTGTATGTGTTCTTATCTTCAAGTAGTTGTTCGGCTTTTTTGAGGTATGGAAAATAGCTGTGCAAAGTGGAAGAAAAATGGTACAACTAATGATAACAGATGCACACTTCAGAATCCGCAAATACCAACACGTCATAGAGGAACAAAAGATGAAGCTACAAAGGACACTCACGAAGCACAACAGTAGTTATGGACAAGGAAGAATACATCAAAAAAGCCGAACAACTACTTGAAGATAAGAACACATACAAACGGATAGATATAAATCCTGTCAAAAAATTGGACAACAGAATCTCAAAGACATTAAACAAGCTAGTCAAAGCAGGAGAAATAACAAAACAAGATCAATGCAGAATGAAATCCAATGGACCAGTACTCCCCCGATTCTACGGCAGACCAAAAATACACAAACCAAACATTCCACTACGTCCAATTGTAGCACTGCCCGGAACGCCAACATACAATTTATCAAAAGAAATTTCACGAATACTGAAACATTTAGTCGATTCATCCAACCACTCCATCAAATCCCCTACACAATTCCTGGACCAAATTAAGGACATTCAAATCAACAACGACGAACTAATGATATCCTTCGATGTAACAGCATTATTCACCTCAATCGAACCAAGGTTAGCAAAAGAAACGATATCCCTGCTCCTCGCCAACGACACAAATCTCACAAAGTACACAAAGCTTCGAAGTCAAAGTCTACTAGAACTCATCGACTTTTGCCTAACAACATATTTTCAATTCAACAACAAAATCTACGAACAAACGAAAGGGACACCAATGGGGTCACCAATATCAGGACTGATCGCAGAAGCAATGATGCAAAGACTAGAAGCCGCGATATTACCAATGATCAAGCCAAAAATTTGGATTCGCTATGTGGACGACACATTCGTTATCGTCAAAAAGAATGAGCTAGAAAACACTTACAAACTGATTAACAACGTCTTCGATGACATCAAGTTCACAATGGAACAGGAGGCAAACAACAAACTACCATTCTTGGATATATTAATCACTAGAACGGACACAGGAAAACTAGAAACTCAAGTATATAGGAAACCGACCCACACAGATCAAATTCTGAACTACAATAGCAACAACCCAAGAGCACATAAAATCAACTGCGTACAAACCTTGTTCAAGAGGGCGAGGACACACTGCAGCACACTGGCAGCACGAAGAAAGGAAGAGAAATACCTGAAGGAAGTATTCCAAAAGAATGGCTACCCAATCAACTTCATCAAAAAATACCAACCACATGCAGCATCAGAGCACAAATCAAGCACAGAAATCAACAAACGGATCACCCTGCCATATATAAATGGCGTATCAGAAACCGCAACAAGACTGCTAAAAACCTTCGGGATAGGTGTGGCACACAAACCGACAAAATCACTACAGTCAATCCTATGCAAACCAAAGGATGAAATAACAAAAGAAGATAAGTCGAACATCATCTACAAAATAAATTGTGTCAACTGCGACAAACACTACATCGGACAAAGCGGACGCCCTCTTCACCTGCACCTACATGAACATCAATTAGCAGTCAAACGGCATGATATCTCCTCACTTATATCAATACACGTGGACAACTGCGGACACACATTCGATTGGAAAAATGTGGAAATCGTGGACAGAGGAAATTCTAAATACACAAGAGAATTTTTAGAAGCCTGGCACTTAGGGCAATCAGCAATCAACAAACATATTGAAATCGATCCGATTTATCAACCAATCAAGAAACTTATGCACAAATATAGGAACAAGAATCAAAGCAATAGGAGACAAAACCAAGACAAAAATGTAAACAATGACAAATTTAAGGTCAATAAGAACCAATCAACATCGAGGTGCACAGAACAAGCTGTGAAACGCATATGGAGAAATTCGAACACTTCACTTCTATCTGAAGTTTGTGCTGATGATGTCGTTCAGAAGAACGATGAAAGCTCCACGATCAAACCATCCAGCTCAGAGAACAAAACTCCATCAAAATCATCCACCTGAGCTACAAATCTTCTCAACCATCTCAGTAACGTAAGACCTTCAATTCTACGAAGTTGAAAAAGCTATATGAAATCTGAAGCGTAGGAGAGCAGCAGTCTCCGACAGGTTCTCCCCTGAGATATTTAAGGATGGCGGTCCTTCTGCAGTAGCAAGATTGACTAAGGTTTTAGGTAGAATTTCGGGAACTGGACGTAATCCCATCACACTACGTCAGACGATCCACAATTGTAGTATTTCTCGACCTTAAGGCGGCATTTGAGTCTGTTGATCGTGATGTTCTATGGCAGTGTCTGTCACTGAAAGAAGTACTAAAGAATTACATTAACCTTATAAAGGCTCTCTACTCGAACACAACTGGTCGAGTGAGAGCTTACGGCGTAGTGTCATCAGAATTGATTACCTCAAGTGGTGTTCGTCAGGGCTGTCCACTCTCTCCATTCTTGTTTAACTTTGTCGTTGACGTGTTCTTAGAGATGACACTTTCCAGGGGTTGAACTACCGGGAGATTCACTTGTTGACTTAGAGTATGCCGATGCCGTAGTTATATTTGGTGAAGACGCTGACAAAATGCAGAGTCTGCTGACCACTCTAAGCAACAATGCAGGCATGTTCGGCATGCGATTCTCCCCCTCAAAATGCAAAATGTTGCTTCAGGATTGGGTTGCATCGACACCCGAACTAGTGATAGGGAGTGAAGTAGTTGAATGTGTCGACCGCTTCACTTATCTTGGGAGTCTCATCAGCCCTTGTGGTCTGGTGTGTGACGAAATCTCAGCACGGATACAGAAGGCTCGACTAGTTTTTGCCAACTTGCGTCATTTGTGGCGTAGGCGAGATATCCGTCTATTAACCGAAGTACGTGTTTACTGCGCAGCAGTTCGTTCCGTCCTACTTTAAGGCAGTGAAACACGGCCGGCAAGAGCAGAGGATATTCGTAGGTTACTAGTATTTGATCATAGACTTCTTTGAAACAATGGCGTCGGTGTATACACTCTCTGTCTTCCTTAAATTAAGAGATTAAAATCGCTTCATATCTGTCTAGGAACTAATTCTTTCTTCCTTTACTATCTCCTTATACACAATCTTTCTTCTATATATTACCACCACTGAATTAACTACTCCTATGAATCCGGTGTTCATCTTGTTGTGCTAATGCGGTATGGCAACTTGGACCGATGCATATACGTGCCTGGTCCTACGTTACAGCTGACTGACTGACTAGTATTTGATCATAGACTTCTTTGAAACATTGCTCGTATATCCTGGGACCACCGAGTAATTAACTCAGTTGTTAGGAAACGGTTACTAGGTATTGATGGAAGACCAATTGGTGAAGTAGTAAAACTTAATCAGTTGAGATGGCTGGGACATGTGTTACGTATTCCCGACCACCGACTGCCTCGACGTGCGATGTTTTATGGTGTAGGAGTAGGTTGGAAGAAAGCTAGGCGCGGCCAGACCAAAACATGGCACAAATCCATGATGTCACTAACAAGTGGACTGAGCCATGTTGGTAGGTGTAGACTACCTGGTTGGGGTCCGCGAGACGATAGCAACCGATGGTTAGAGATCTTGAATGACATGGCTCAAAATCGTTTGCAATGGCGCAGGTGCATCCACTCTTTGTGTTCTTCCAAATTCTAATCTTCTGAATTCTTCATGTCATTTTTTTCTTTCCCAATTTATTCCACTGGACTATACTCCTTTAATAACATCATCAAACCTTAATGTCCCCTATCTCTACTTATGCTTTCAGTACCTCTACCACTACGGGATTTGAATCGATAACTGAATCTCTGTGCTAATGTGGTATGGCAACTCGAACTGATGTACGTACGTACGAAGTCCTACGTTGTTACTGACTGACTGACTTATTATATTATGTACTCAGTATTTACTATTTAGTAGTTTAATCAGACGCTAGTTTTGATATACTAGCAGTATCGGTAGATTAGTACTATTCTCAACTCTCACATAATGCATGACCAGCCTAGCAATAAAATTTCTGCTGAGTACTTTGATACTTGCAATAGGAAAGAAAAGTCATCACTTTAAAGACATCATCATTAAATTATCGAGTAGCAGTGGCACCACAAGTTATTTGAGTTGATGAGAACTGTCCTTTTGAGTCAGCCAAACTTGGTAGTATCGTATAATGAGCCGAATCGACTCGTGTTGGATTATATTTCATTCACTTCAACTGTTGTCCAGGTTAAGAGTAATATAAGGAAGTACGTAGTTTAGCTTTTCTGGTTGTATTGCATTTCTAGACTATATTAGTCTTCAAATTTACTTATTCTCCATTACACTTATTAATGCTCCAGTCTCGCAAATGTATTTATATTTTGACAGATTGTTCGAATTAAGAAGTCTTGTGAGGCTGTAAAAATAATATTGTAACTGCATACCTCTTAAAATATGGTTGAAGTTTACAAGCTGAGATGCACTCTATCGGGTCATAAGAGCGACGTCCGTGCAGTTACTTGTCTTTCAGATACCAGAATTGTTTCTGCTTCAAGGGATTTAACAGCAAGGACATGGCATATTTCCAAGTTAGTCATCTTTCTGTTTAAACTAATACTATTACATTTATTAACTGTAGTTAAGTCATGTATACAGGCTATATTATAACTATTATGTCTATCAACTGTAAGGTACACGAAAATCCGTTATTGGACAGAATTCCTGTCACTAGTAGGACATGTAGTAAAGTTAACAGAATGAGTGATGAGAAATTCTCCCCTCAATAAGTTAAGGTCTTCAAATGCTTAACAAAACTTAATTGTGCAACCAATCTTTTCTCTGCCAAACTAACTTCTTAACAGTGCTGAAGGTCATCTAGATCAGCATATATTCCTCTGGTTTTTGGTTTACAAAATTCATCTTATCACATTTTCGGTATTATACATATAATTATCCCGATAAATGAATTTATCAATAATGTTGGAATGTTTACCATTAAGGGTTATTGCAGTTACGGGTTCATACGAACGTTGGTCAGTTTTAAGTTTTTTTTTTTTCCAACTTGGCAACTTGGACCGATGCATATATGTGCCTAGTCCTACGTTGTAGCTGACTGGCTGACTTTTTCCAACTTGATAGTTTCAAATAGTATTGGTAGCCACTTATATTTATCAACTTACTATCTGGATATTATTGAGTACCTTAATAGTAGTAGTAGTTAATTCCGCAAATTATGTTATTATAACTCATCAAGGTTTTTTAAGTATGTTGGAAATTTAACTGAAAATAAACTTTTTATTTGATAGAGAAGGTTGTGATGGCTGTGAAGATATGGTTCTTCTCGGGCATACAAATTATGTATCAGCTGTGTGTTGTCAAGACTTAGACAACGAATGTCGTATTCTAACAGGATCACATGATAAACTAATTCGAGGGTATAATTCCATGTCTTCAGAAGCTCTTTTCACGTTAGAAGGGCATAAAGATACAGGTATGTTCTTAGTGGATATTACGTTACTCATTGGTTTCTCCAACCAGTATGTACTTTAGCGGTTGGAAATCACAAAACCATAATTAGTGGTTCTTGGGATAAATCAATCAAAATATGGAAGGAAGAAAAGTGTGTCTCTACTCTCACAGGTGAGTTTTAAATGGAAATATTTTGTAAAATTTTGAATATAAGAGTGGAAAAAATAGGATAACGTTATTAGTCAGTCAGCTGCAACGTAGGACCAGGCACGTATATGCATCGGTCCAAGTTGCCATACCGCATTAGCACAACAAGATGAACACCGGATTCATAGGAGTAGTTAATTCAGTGGTGGTAATATATAGAAGAAAGATTGTGTATAAGGAGATAGTAAAGGAAGAAAGAATTAGTTCCTAGACAGATATGAAGCGATTTTAATCTCTTAATTTAAGGAAGACAGAGAGTGTATACACCGACGCCATTGTGATCGATTCTGAGCCATGTCACCAAGAGTCTCCAACCATTGGTTACGTTATTAACTGGTTATCATTGGTAACTTCTGGATACCGTTTTCTAAAGCGGACTGAATTCATACAATTCAGCATCATATTCATGTTTTTTATTGAAAAAAGTTTAGGAATTGTCTGCAAGTTTATATAATTATTTCCGGTCTTTAAAATGTCAAGTATTTTAATAAATAATTTTTTTCAATTACAAAAAGTTGTTAGGAACTTTCATTTCAGGTTATCCAGAAACAAACGCTATACTACATTAAAATAGGATTGGGAGATAGGGTAGAGAAAGGAGAAACGAAAAGATGAGAGATCTACTTCGAATACATGAGTCTCATTAAGTAAAAAACTCGAACTCTTCATAAATAGTATATTTTTTCACTTTCACAGAAGTGAGCATAATTAGTTAATCATCTAATAAATTTGCCAAATAATATAGATATTTGAGTAGGGTCAGAAGCAGAAATTTATTTTCCAAAATATCATTCAACACTTACGTTTTGTAGTGTAGCAATTTCATTGCAGTAGTCTGAACAGTTACCTTGTTTAAACTTACTCTCTTTAATGCCATCTAACTGGTCAAATGGTAAATGTTACTTAAAATCTATTACTTGATCTTGTTGGTTTTACTAATCTGCATGTTTTTATCAGGGAACTATGAAGAATATTTTTAGATTGCTGTCTACATGATATGATTGAAGTGATCTCTCAGTTGATATTGTTTGCGACAGTTATCATTATCAGTATGAATCTAGGATAAAAATACATTATTACAACCAATTTCGACTATAAATGGTTGTTACAGCTATTTAATGATCAGTTCGTTGTAATTTTTACCAACATACTCAATGGTAATTTATTAATAACTTCCTATTATTTTATGTAATAAAATTGGCAGTTAATTCTCTTATGTATAGGACATCAAGCAGCAGTATGGTGTGTACTCGTTATGTCGGCCGTAAATATAACCGGTCATATTGATGATTTAATTGTTATCTCTGGTTCAGCTGATCAAACTATACGTATATGGTGCCTACGTGGCCTTAATCAAGATATAAGTTCACCTGACATAATTTTATTAAATTCTTTAAATGAACACAAAGACTGTGTGCGCGCCTTGGCACGTATTGATGATTCACGATTTTTATCAGCAAGCAATGATGCCAGTATAAGAGCTTGGGATGCTACTACGGGCAAATGTATTGGAGAGTTTTATGGGCATACAAATTTTGTTTATGGATTGGCTTGTTCACCTAATTTTCCAAAATTTGTTTCCTGTGGTGAGGATAGAAGTATTCGTGTCTGGCTTTTACCTTCGGCAAGTGAATGGGCTCCTGAAAAAAACTTCAGTTGCTTTCAAACTATTCTGTTGCCATGTCAGTCTGCCTGGTGTGTAGCTATGGTACCGAATGGTGATATTATTGTCGGAGGCAGGTAATTATTAAGTGTAAAAAAACTGTATAATCGAGCTTGAAATCTGTTGGGATCCTTACATCTTCTTGAATTAATCTAACGTGATTTTTTCAGTCTACTCTGATAAATTCCTTCCATCTAAATTATAAAATGTAGACTTTAAACGTTTTACAATTGATTTAACCTCCCCCCTTTTTGATGACAAAGAAAACCGTTTGAAAGAGGTATATTGCACGAATCCCATCAAATTATAGCCAACTACGAAACGTCTAAGTCAACGGTGATTATGTACTTGTAAAACATGTTCCAGTCATCTCTGCTGTTAACTTGATGTTAGTTCTATTTAGTCGTAAAGCGAATACTTTATCTATGGATTTTAATTGGGGATGAATAATTACTTGTAATCTTTCGAAAGTACATTTGGAGGGTGAATTGTACAGAGATAATTTGTGTTCAACTAGGCTAGATTGAAATTCACAGGTCCTGCTCTTAAACGATATTTAAAAGTTGGTACAGATTTTATGGGGTTATAAATCATCTTATGTATCTATTTTGTGCTGGAATTGCGCATATATAGTGATGATATGTTGACGTGTGTGTGAACTGTAGCAGTATGACCACTGAATATTTTGTGTAAAGTCCTATATCGTTCATAATCGACTGACTGATTCAAGGTGGAAATTCTTTACTAATTTTCAGTTTAGAATGAATGCAATGGTTGTAATGCTTAAAGCATTTGGTTTTCAGTTTGTCGGTCTGAGGCCTAAACTCCATTTTACTTACTTCTGTTTGAGCAACCGAGTAGGGCTTGTTGCTCTCACACAACTAAAATATAATTCAAAGTTGACTGCAGAAATTTGTACTCGGTTCATGAGTAAATCAATCAGTCGACTCTTCAACTAGTTTTAGTTCATAATATCTACATGAAAAACAATAACGATAAAAATATGCAATCATTGCATTTAACCAGTGGATTCATTTTATTTTCATCAAATTACTAATTGGAATCAATGTTAAATAATAGGTGATGTAGTTAACAATCGTTCAGATTATTGTAAATGTTTTCAATTTTGATTGTTATTAGGAATGATTTAATGCGAACAGAAGATGAAGCCTATCAGATAAATTCTATCTGATTGGCTTCATTTATCTGGATAGACTATCTAACTTTATTGAGTTGATCAAGTATACTAAAGGCAATTTATACGCTCTATTTCTTTCATAGTGATTCAATGATTCGGATATTTTCATGTGATTCAACACGACAAGCATCTTCAGATGTCTTGAAACTTTATGAGACAGAATTAGCCAATTTTAAGATTACAGTTCCTGGTTCTTCTGGAGCTGGAGATTTAGTTTTGAACAATTTACCGGGACTTGAGGCTTTAACGAGACCAGGTATTTCATGGTAATTCATTTGTACTTACTAATATTCCCTTGTATGTGTTTTTATCGTGTCATTACACAACTAAGGAATTGTTGATTTATTCATTATCGAACCAAATGCTCATGTAAATTAATAGCGTCCTGTTAACCAACTCGGCGTTTTATACACAATAATAGAAATGAATATAAGTTGAACGTTTATACAATCCTGCATTTTTTAGATAAACCAGGTGACTTATTTGTCGAATACCCATCTTTCAATCTCACTTTTTTGTATGAGTGGCAGTGATACTAACTAACTGTCCAGACTTAAGTAGAGAGAGTTTGGAACTGTGATCTGTCAGTTGGTGCATATCAAGTGTTTTATTCACGAAGCAATACTGCCTCATATCACTTGAAATGAAAATGAAATATTGTCATATTGTTCATTGTCGTTACTCACACTACAAACGTTTATTTTAGTCAGGTACACCATACTAAGGAAGTGTATTCTATGATGGTGGGGAAAATTTATAGCTCATGTGGATGATTTTGATGGAGTTTATAGCCAAGTCTTAAATTCTCATTCAAGTTCACTGGATCAATAAGACTAGTACTGTTGCTTATGTATATTTATGAAACCAGTTGTTTTTAGTTCGTACTGTGCAACCACATGGTAGATTTATTTTAATGGACTGTAGAATTTCAACTGATTTCTGAGATTTTTTGTTAAAGGTAATAATTTTCTAGCACAAATTCAATAAATATGAAATTAAATTACGTCGTTAAGGCTATAATTTTTCTTTGACTATTCCATAGTAAAAATCGGTTTTCTCAAGTTATAATTATTCACTTAGCAGTAGAATCCAAGATTGACACCCGAACTAGTGATAGGGAGTGAAGTAGTTGAGCGTGTCGACCGCTTCACTTATCTCGGAAGTCTCATCAGCCCTTGTGGTTTGGTGTGTGACGAAATCTCAGCACGGATACAGAAGGCTCGACTAGTTTTTGCCAACTTGCGTCATTTGTGGCGTAGGCGAGATATCCGTCTATCAACCAAAGGATGTGTTTACTGCGCAGCAGTTCGTCCCGTCCTACTTTAAGGCAGTGAAACACGGCCGGCAAGAGCAGAGGATATTCGTAGGTTACTAGTATTTGACCATAGATGTCTTCGAAACATTGCTCGTATATCCTGGGACCACCGAGTAATTAACTCAGTTGTTAGGAAACGGTTACTAGGTATTGATGGAAGACCAATTGGTGAAGTAGTGAAACTTAATCAGTTGAGATGGCTGGGACATGTGTTACGTATGCCCGACCACCGACTGCCTCGACGTGCGATGTTTTATGGTGTAGGAGTAGGTTGGAAGAAAGCTAGGCGCGGCCAGACCAAAACATGGCACAAATCCATGATGTCACTAACAAGTGGACTGAGCCATGTTGGTAGGTGTAGACTACCTGGTTGGGGTCCGCGAGACGATAGCAACCGATGGTTAGAGATCTTGAATGACATGGCTCAAAATCGTTTGCAATGGCGCAGGTGCATCCACTCTTTGTGTTCTTCCAAATTCTAATCTTCTGAATTCTTCATGTCATTTTTTTCTTTCCCAATTTATTCCACTGGACTATACTCCTTTAATAACATCATCAAACCTTAATGTCCCCTATCTCTACTTATGCTTTCAGTACCTCTACCACTACGGGATTTGAATCGATAACTGAATCTCTGTGCTAATGTGGTATGGCAACTCGAACTGATGTACGTACGTACGAAGTTCTACGTTGTTACTGACTGACTGACTGAGAATCCAAGATTTGTGCTTCATCGGAGTTTGGAACCATCTGATGATTGTAAGTTCACCCTAGTGTTAATCTTCACACAAAGACTCGAACCCAGTATTTATCTCCTTAAAGTCTATAGTGTTGCCAGTCAGGTTACGGAGTCATGATTTACATGCACTTCTTCGACGGATATGACCAACTAAAGTAAAAAAAAAACGCGTTCTGGATTCTGTTACTAACTTCTATCTAAAATATCATAACTAGGTAATCTTAAGGTATCTGTTCTAGGATCTCATATGCCACTTGGAATTGATTAAATTCAGCCTTGAATATGAATAATAAGAAAATCCACATCTTTAAAAAGAGTAGTAGGTATGATCACTGTTCTATGAATACTTATTTTCCATTATTATCGATTTTGATTATGTAGGGAAATCGGAAGGACAGATCATGGTCATTAACGATAGTGGTCGTTCTGTTTGTTATCAATGGTCTTCACATGATACTCGATGGATTGAAGTTGGTGATGTTGTGGGAAGTCAACCTTCTAATCGTCAAGTTCATGAAGGCAAAGTAAGCTATTATTGTCTCTCGCGCTTCATTAATTTTGTTAACTGTTATGTGAAATTTGCATGTCAAATCTTATTACTTCAGTTCTATTATTGTTGACTCGTAGAAATAAGTCTTTCTTTTCTCATGAATCCCTGTCAAATAAACACGATGGTACGTCGTTACATTATTTGTTCAATTACTAATTTTTACTTCATTATAAAGCAAACTTCAATAGTAATTTGTGTTAAGATCATTTAAGTACTACTTTGTTTGGTATTGAACCCGTAACAAAGCAAAATAATTGATGATTATAGCGATAATGTGATTTGTTTCAAGTTCATCTGATAGTAAATGTTTATATGCGTTCATGCTCTTGTACTGTAAAAAGTAAGCACATCTAATAAATACATTGAATATCTAATGGTCTTTTGACGATTCCAGAATTTTATCATTTTTCTTTGTCTATTCTGTTAAATCGAACTTTTGTTGGAATAAAGACAATTTATTAGGACGCTTTGATCAATACGATGAATTAAATCTTGGTAACTTTATTCAAAAGATTTGCCAGGACTATTCTATTGATTAGCTTATGACATTTTAAATACATTTATTTATTTTAAATAAATAATATATTTGTAATATCCCAATGAGTAGAAAATTAGATTTTCTGACGTTTTGTGACTTAATGTAAGTCACTTCTTCAGAGAATAAATAACCAAATTAAAATTAATCCAAGTTTAAATACTACAACGGAACAATGCAAGAATAATATTTGATCAATCAAAAACGGGTCTGAACAAGTTGATGTCATGTCATTTTTGTCAGGATGATTCTTAAGTGATATGTATGTAAGTTTGTGTGTGTATGTATGTGTGTATTGTTTAGGAATGAAAAATTGTGTGACCTTTATGGTAAGAAACCATCATGTTTATCCAAAAGCGTTAAGAGTCAAGACTCCAGACAATTCTATACATTCACAAAAAGCAGCTCTTACAGCTACAAGAGTGTTACTTAGAGAACGTATACATAAATCCACTTTAAACTTGGAATCTCTACGTTCACGTATTGCAAACATTGATAATGCTTTATCACTAATTATACCAACAGAACTAAAAACAAATGTTACTGAATTTTTCAAACATAGAGAAAACTTTTATGATCAAATTACAAAAAGACGTCAAATAAGAAAATTTGAACAAATGTTTAAACATTCGTCAAAATCCAACAATAACGAGATTAGAAATAAATCCAAGGAACTCGATATTCACTGGAAACAAGTGCTATCTCAATGTGCTCCATTCCACCAAAAATTTGGTTAAGATACGTAGATGACACTTTTATCATTATAAAAGGAAATGGTTTGGATGAACTATTTCAACGTGTCAGCAGCATTTATGACAAAATCAATTTCACCAAAGAGTTGGAATCTCCTGAACGGAAATGACCTTTTCTAGACTGTTTGGTTGAAAGGAAGTATAATGATTGTTTAAAAATTAGTGTTTTCCGAAAGCCGACATATTCAGGGAAATTTCTAGATTTTAAGTCTGCGCATCCATACTCTACCAAAGTGGCAGTAGCCAAAAATTTGATAACCAGAGTCAAAAAAATTGTCACTGAACCAAATGATATAAAAATGGAAATGAATTTAATTGTATCCACTCTAATGATGAATAGTTATCCGAAGGGTTTTATTAAAAGAATAATTAAGAATGAAGAACAAAATGATATCATTAAAAAAGGAGTTAAGCAAACGAATGGATTAACACAGTGGTGATCCCATATCGTGAAGGTATTTCAGAGGAGATCAGAAGGATTCTAACTCTTCAAAATATAAGAGTATTCTTTCGAACAAACAATACTCTGAGATCAAAACTAGTAGAAATCAAAGATCCAATACTCAAGGATGAACAACAGCATTGTGTTTATGAAATCAATTGTAATGCAACGTATGTAGGTGAAACATCAAGCCAATTGAATGTGAGGGTGAAGGAACACAAACTGTGCTTAAAGCACATTTCTAAATCCTCAGATGATGTAAAAAAACTTGAGAACAAATCAGCAATAGCATTACACTCGATTGAATCGGGTCATACAGTTGATTCTAATGGCACAAGAATCATTCAAAAAGACTAACTCTTGCAAAGAATGACTAACAGCCGAAGCCCTACAGATATGGGCTAATTCAAACAGTATTAATAGGAGAGATGGAATACAATTAGCTGTCCCATGGCAACTAATAATTAATAAGTAAACCTGAACTCCTTATTCCATCCTATCTATCTATATCATATTAACTAATCAATAGATAATACATTTAACGGTTCACATCAGTTATCGTATCTGAATATGTTAAACGATTGACGGGAACACTAAAATAACACAAGCTTTCAATTACAAATACATTCCTCTTTGAATTCAGTCTTTTATCTTGTTTATTTATCTTCATTTAATGCATGCTGTGACATTTTAATTCATATCATATATAAAATGATATGTTTTCTTAATATACACACATACCGAAGTCAATATATATGTATAGTTGAATGAAATTTCTTCACACATCACTTACATAGACACAATCTGTTATCTTAACACTTTGTTTTCACAACACAATTCTCTTACACACTTATGTAAGTACCTACTTCAAACAAGGTTCACGTTGATTGGATGTTTTAATCAGTATACAGTAAACCAGAGAACCTTGTACCTATTTATATTCGATAATTTGTTGTTTGATTATTATTTCCTTGAAAAAGCTTGGACCAGATTGCCAGACGAAACGTTGGATTTACTTAAAAATTCATTCGCTGAGATTTTATAAATACATTTTTCCTCTTTAATGTCTCACATTAACTCGGCGCCCAAATATTGTGAAACTATTCGTTCAAATTTAGACGACAGTTCTTATTTAAGAACGGATAGAGTTTAAATTTGTAATATGATAGTGTGAAATTGTAAATAAGATCAGACTGAATGGCTAGGATAGATGGTCCAAGTAGGATGTATGGTAAGGCCTTCTTTTCTGTTGAGAGAAGTAGGGTTAAGCATTATATGGTACGCCTCAGCTACCCTCCTTTTTGTAGTTCGAAAAGCCTTTTTGCAATATTTTGATATTTTTAAAATCGATTTGGTGGTTGTTGAAAATGGCATGAACTGCTATTGCCGATTTAATTTGAAGTTGGTTCAATTCTACTGGGTTGTTAGGAGGTTTCTTTGTGTACCTAATATGTTCTTTGGCTCTAGTCAAGATTTCGCAGGATGACTCTCCAATATAATAGGCATCACAATCGATACAATCTAATTTGTAGACGCACTTCTGTGTGCACATGAAAGGGATTTTTTCTTTTAGGCGAACTAAAGTATTACGTAGTGTGTTCGTTGTTTTGTAGTATACTTTAATTCTGCGATGTTTTAAGATCCTTTGGGTTTCTTCTGTTGTGCCATGACGGTATGGTAGAACTGCAGTACCAATCCATGGCATTTCATTCGAATCATTATTATAACGTAATAAACTGTTTTGTTTTAATATGCTTCTAATAATCTTCATATGAAAATTATTAAATTGTAAGATACTAATTACATTCATTTGTTCTTTTTGTTTGTCTTCCTCTGATGTGATGATCTTGTTAGCTCTTCTAAAAAGATTTAAGGCTAGCGAGATCTTAGCACTGAAAGGATGTGCTGAATGGAAGTCAATATAACGATTTGAGTGCGTAGGTTTTCGGTAAATGTATAGGTTTAGACCTCCATTTGGATTCCTTTTTACTAAGCAATCCAAGAATGGTAGCTCTCACCATGTACATTTTCATTCGTGAATTTGATGTGCGATGAAAGTGTATTTATTCGTTTTGAAAAAGATCTTAGATGAGTTTTTTTATAACAACAAATGCATCGTCTACATATCTAAACCAAATTCGTGGTATAATGTTGTGGGCGAAGATATTTGATTCTATGTATGCCATAAAAAGGTTGGCTACAATCGGGGACACAGGGGATCCCATTTCTATATCGTTAGTTTGTTTGGTTATTTATTCTCTGAAGAAGTGACTTACACTAAGTCACGAAACGTCAGAAAATCTAATTTTCTACTCATTGGGATATTACAAATGTATTATTTGTTTATAACAATCAACTCAATGCTCAGTTTATTCGAAGTTATCAAATCAAACCTTGGTAATGATACCTATTTATTTATTTTGTTCTTATTTAGCTAATTCGACCACTATGTGTTATATAAATTCCCAATATATTTTTAAAAATCTTGCTTGATTATTTTTAAGATTGAAGTAGACTAGATTTAATGAATTATAAGTGTTTTATGTTCCCAGTTCGTATCCCATAGGTAGGTTAAAAGTTTTTGAGATATGTTTTGATGATAGTTCTCCCATATATTTAAATCCTAAATCCTGAAATCCACTATAGCTGTTCTTAAAAACTGTTTTTAGCTGGAGTACCATATATTTTGATCAGTTCGATTATCTTGTCATTAGGATCCATAGTTTTACCTTATCCGCTATCTATAGTCTGATTTTCGTACAATGAACTCAATAATTAATTAATTAACAATATTTTTCGAAGGGTTGCCACATGAGCCTTTAAATTCTTTTTTAATACCAAGCCTACGTACTTCTAGAATCACCCCTAAACTGAGAAACTCTACGGTTTCTACGTTTACTACAGGAAGTTTTTTAATACCCACTGATTTAGTACATTCAACAACACTTAAATTAAATATATCTCTTTTGATTTTGTCAATAGTTTACACTTTTAAATTACAAGTGATTTACCAGATACAGATTCTACACTGTTCTTTAAGCCACACCAATTTTGTTTAAGGGCTGGTAACGCTACTCGACTTGGCAAATTGAAGCAATTGGGGTGGGTTTCGAACGGAAGATCTGTTAAAGCTTTATGCTCTAGTCATTAGGCCACCACTACACAATTGGAGTAGGAAATTCAAAACAATATAGATCGTTTAGATAGATGTCGCGTAATATCTCTTGACCTTCATTTTATTTATTTTGTTGCTCAACTTATTAATGATTGCTTAGTTCATATGCATATTTTCAAAATGTGTATTTCGTCCATTTTATAACACCATTGTTTATATTTCATCTAAGGAATACGATTTTGTATTTACGGTTGATATTGATGATAGCATGCCTGGGCTTAAACTACCTTACAATCGTACTGAAGATCCCTGGTTTGCAGCTCATTCTTTTATTCAAAGACATGATTTACCTGCTGGTTATCTGGATACAGTTGCTAATTTCATTATTCAAAATGCAGGACCTTCAATTAATCCAGTTGTCAGCAATGATCTTTCTCATAGTGACCCTTTTACTGGAGCACATCGATATATCCCAAATAACTTTTCTTCGACGGCAACCAAGTCTACCACAAATGGAACATCAGTTTTTACATCTCATTTTCCACCCGATACCTTTATATCTATGAAATCAATCAGCCTTGGTCCTTTGATGAGTAGGTCAATTTTTGATATTTCTATGTAATTAACCTTTAAAATATATAATTCCGCTTGTAAATCATTTTATTGTTTGACCTATTCGTAGTTGTTTATCATTGGTTAGTTTAATATATTACAAATAATGAAATGTAAACGTGCTATACTTTTTGATGAGATTCTATGTTAATAACTTTACCACTAATATACGCAATCAAAACCAGATTTGTTAGTAATGCTATTATTATTATAACGTTTTATACTCATGGTATTCCATCACAACCTGATAATTGATTTTATCCACTAACCATTTATGAGATGAACGGTTGTTCCAGCCAGTGTAGCTCAGTTGCTTCATCACGATAGGCAAGCCTGACCACCACGTCAAGGTAGCGACAACGGTCGGGGTATCGCTTCGTGAAGGCTTCTAATTAGTTTATTTGGGGCAAAAGTGGAGTCAGTCTCCAGGGTTGCCTACAGGCTTGTTACGAAAGGAATTATTTTTCTGCGAACATTCTGTGTGCTCGGCAATTTTATATAATCGCCATTGAGTTTGTTAATAAATACTATTATACATATGATATTTCCTCTTAAATTCACTTTTCGATAATATCCTACATATGAAGACCGTCACACCTGTTTCGTATCATTTAAAATCTTAAATTGATGTATATTTAATTTTAGAATTGTTACACGAAATCAGCCATTTTGATCTTTTAATTACAAATGTGTGGTAAATATTGGTGGAGCAAACTAAAAAATATCGATGTTTATTGTTTTCTTCCTTAACATACAGCTAAGCTAGAGTCGTTCAATGTCCGATCACCGATTCCATTAAATAATGAATTCTTAGAAGCATGTAGAAAATTCAACATTGATGATTGTACTGAAACTGAAGCTGTTCATCTTACTACTCATATTCTAGATGCAATAAACAAGTGGACTCCCGGTATGTTATCAAGTTTAATATACTGTTGTCATATGCTTAATCATACGTCACATTATGCTCCGTTACAGTTCACATATAAAGTGACTGTCGTATATTGAATTTGTTTCAAGGTGAATATTTTAATATTGGGTAATTATTTTTTGGTGAAGGTATTAATTATTATTTGTTTAGTAGATTTTTGTCTATTCACATCATCACAACGAGGGGAAATCAACAAGACAAATGAACTAAAAAGTGAATATACCAATTTTATCGACAGTAGTAACGAACAAAAAATACAATTCAAAGAAATCTAAATTAAACTAATGAAATCGAGGCATAAAATATGCAGAATAATAGTAATTTCAAAGTTTAGTTGATTATAGTAAAGTGCGTGCATATGCATAGCGGCAACTGATTTTAAACCAATTCACACAGTCTTCAACCAAAAATAACTGTTTTAAAATGAATTCAACCAAAAAAATGCCATAAGCATTTCAAATCAATCACTGAACAGACTACAAATATTCTTCTAATAAATCTTCTGCATGAAACAAAAAAGCACTTAGTAGCTGTGCATACTTGACACGTGTTCTGTTCACTTTAGTGGTTAGTATTAAACAGCCTCATTATCACATCTTCCTAGTACACCGAAATTAATACGGTTTACTCTTTGGTTCCCCCCAAATGTGAGCAATATTCCTAAAATATCTATGATAAATTATTAGTAACCTACATATTATCATCAACCATAGAATACCATATCTGACATCGATTGCATATTGTAAAGGATGCATAGCATACTCATTATTTGTTAAGTAAACAGAAATTCGGATTTATCATGAGTTGAAAATAATGCGTAATTACAAATATGCAAAAAAGCACAGTAATGAATATTGCATTCATCGTAATTTTGTAATCTTCACAAATAATTGAAGCTTTTTTAGAATTATTTTTCCAGTGAGAAAGCAATATGATTTATTAAGTATCAATTTATAATAGTTTATCAATTATGTTTTGATTTCTTTTAAAATTGGTCTTAATTTCTGTTTTTCATAGATACAATATTTCCCTTATTGGATATTTTACGGTGTTTAGTCTTTTGGCCGATATCCAGTGATATTATATTTGAAACAACAAATTGGAATTATTTATTGTCAATTAGTTTTAACAATCCTGATTTGTCAAGTGCAAATTGTTTATTAATGTTACGTCTATTAGTAAACTCTTTAACTGCAGATGGTCCAAGATTTATTGACACAATCCAGCGTCAATCCGTGTCGTCATCATCATCCTTAACAAATAGTAGTGATAAGCCGAACGTTGTACCAAAATCTTTAATTACTGCCGTTGGAATAACTGGGAGATTAGTTGAACTTGTTAATGATAATAAATTGCAGTTTGTAACACGTAAACCACATCAGGTCAGGTTTTATTATAATTTTCGTATTATTTTGTGATTAGGCAATTTATTGAAACTGTTCAATTTAAAGCTAGTTTTCATCACAAATTTTAAAACTTGTCGAACCATAGAAAATCTTAGCTAGCTTGGTACGTACGTTTCGTTTTAGCTTAATTCCTTTCAATAAAAGATTTACAACTTTGTAACAGAATATGAAACTTTAAGTTTCCGTCGCCAGCACGATACTGTTAGACCATTGAATCTAGATCCAACAGTTCAGTTTTAAAATTGTCATCAATTCGTGATATTGTATAACTCTTATCCTTTATCATTGGTATCGTCTGTCTTACTCTCGGAATAGTTCTGTATTTTTTTTTTTTTGCATAGATAATAGTTACTGTCAGTGGCTTGGAAATATGAACTTTGTGTTGGTGTTCTGTATACATTAAGTTCTATGATTTTCCTGTTTCGAAATTTTCATGAATTCAATTTCTAAGTAGCTTGTTGGTATTCATTAATCGATGGATGCTGTTTACAATAAACTTTTTTATCCGTCTTTTTATTTTTAGGTTGCGTTGGCCAATTTGATGTATAATATGTCTGTACTTGTTCATTTGTCGAAACCGTTATCTATTGAGTCAAATATATTTCCTCAACTACGCTTTATATCTGGTGTTTGTATTAGAATAAGTCTTAATATTTTATCACTTGTCTTGGATCATGGTTGTAATGGTGTCACACAATTACACCCTGAAGCTGTAAATCAATTATTTGTATCAATTGGTACCTGTTTATTATCAGTAACTTCAGGATTAAATTCAACAGATGAGCAGTTAAAAACACAACGTATTCGTATTCTTGCATCAGCTATGATTGGTTTGAAAGATTTATCCCGAAGTGTTGATAACGATGTAAATATTGATAATAATGTTGATGAAATTACCGCCTGGGAATTAGTTCGTAAAATTATTAATTACTGGATAACAACACCTACAGTTTGTTCTAATGTACGAGCATGTGCATCTCAATTACTTTCAATTTTAGAATAAGATAACAATAACAAGTGACTGAAAACAATGTTTGTACTTTTTAAAAATTTACACTTTTTGCTTAATATAAATGCTTTGGATTGTAAATTGTAAACTCGTTTAAGAAGTATTCATATAGGTGTTTGTGTATCATTTTTCACTCTATTGACTTTTCATTTTTATAAAGTCTTGTTAATTTGTTCATATTTTATAGATATACATTATTTATTTTTTGTACAAATATGTGTTTTTTTCATTGATTTTGTGATGTATAGTTGTCTGCTTACATTATTATCTTGCGTCTTAAAACACTTCAATTATTAGTATATATATACGGTTAACTCATTTTTACGTATTAGTTGTTTCGTTCAATAAATGTTTCACTTGTTAGCTAAAAAATTGACAAAGTATCATTAATTTATTTTATGATTTAGACTATTGATAATTTTCTGTTTGAATGAATACTATAGTCCAAACCCAAATCAACCTCATAAAGGTTTGTATGCTGATTGAGAAACTGCACCCTTTATATGTTGGTTAATTAACTGTACAATCCACAGTTAACGCTAAATCGTAAAGATCATATGAAGTTCGTGTGTCTGATCAGTATATTATGCGAACCAATGTACATAAAGTTATTAAAACCAATTAATAATTTCTTCTTGTTAATAAAACATCAGAAGGACAGTGTTTATATGCATCCCTACTTAAATCGAATTATAATACATAGTTTGTATCTACGTACAATAAGCCAAAAGTGATTTCCAGATCACTTAAACCACGTTTCTTATTGTATTTTCTGTTCAAACTGTTGTATTTGAATTCTAAGTTTCATTCATAACTTCCTGATCACGCATAATAGTACTAAATATAAATTACATTATAACCATTTGGTCTTCATAGGATAGGGTCATACATACAAATGGAATTTGTGTTATAATGTTCGATTGATAAAATTTTCTGATATAATCTTCTAGAAAAATAATACCAAATCTCTGAAAATCATTTGACAACATATTTAGCTGTTACAATAGTTCAACATTTGAATCGGGTTAGTATATTTTACTTTGTGGTAATGTTTAGTTTACATTTCAAGTTTTCCTACATGGTCTTGTAAGATAATTAAAAACTTTCTGTTGATTAAGAATAATTTATTTGCTTTAGCTTTCGCTTATTGAAGATAAGGGAATTCACATTAAATAATGATCTTATGAATTTTCAATGCCTCTTGACATGTAAACATTGTGTTTAAACTGTAAACATCAGTTTGTGAAAGACTGCATTCAAAAATTATAGGCGGATGAACTTGACTGTACATTAGCCATTACATAACTTCTTTGTAATCGTTTATATTTCCTTATGACAACAAGTCCATATGTATGTACAACATACTGATACCGTTTGAAGGGTAATTATTATTGTTATTTGAAACACTTAGTTAATAATTCAATGTCAACTAGGCTGTCAAAGCATTTATACATAAAACCTCGGTGTTTGCCGACAGTTCTCTTATATTTATTTTGTTGGCCAACTATCTCGTAAAATAACCTTCCCCAAATGCCCTGGTACGGCCGAGAGTGGGGAGAGTCCGCTCTCCCTCTCGAAATGCTCTCACATGGCCACGCGTATATAGCCTCTGCCAGGGAAGTCCTACTCACTGACTTCTCGTGGCGTTGTGTTGTTTACGAAAATGAGAGAACGAAAAGCGAATTTCCGGCGCTTTAACCGGATCTCAAACCAATGGTGCACATGGGCTCCAGTATCCTGATGAAACAAATGGCGTATGAACCAATCGTTGGTCACCGGTTACCATGGGACTGCATCCCTTGAAGTTGAAGTCAGAAAATCTAGTGCACTATTATGAAATAACTTCTGTAACTGAAATATTAATGAATAGTCCACAACGTCATTTTACCATCCATATCTGAAATTTATACTTCAGAATCCAAACTACTTAGAAGTAAATAAAGCAAGAACAAATATTGATGCAGAATAGTATGAATTCATAATATTTCGAGGTTTCTCGTCAGCTGCTTACAACCAAATATGTGATAGAATTTTCTACATTGAGATAGTGTAAAACAATTGGCATAAATGAATGTAAATAACTGGAATGACAAGGATTTACAATAATAACTATATATATATATATATATATATATATATATATATATATATATATATATATATATATATATATATATATATATATGCTAGAACAGGTCAGAGGTTAATTGGTGTCAGAATTAAGGAAACAATTAAAGATGGGTGATGTAATAGTTGAATAGAATTTGAAAAGTTAACATAATTTAAGAATATGAGTGGGCGGAACTGTGTAAATGAAGAAAAATCTGATAGATAATCATACATACAATGAACTTAAACCTAAAGGATCACAATTACCATACTTATATGGCCTACTTAAAACTGATAAGCACGACATCCCGATAAGACCAATATTATCCATGACTAATTCGCCCTTCCACAAACTCGCTCGCTGGCTGACAAAATGCGTAGAACCAATCTGAAAGAAATTAGCACCCTGCAGTCTAAAAGACAGTTTGGAATTCGCACAAAAATTCGACAACCTAAATGTTTCTGATAAATTTATGGTTTCATTTGACGTCTCATCACTCTTCACAAACATCCCCTTGGAAGAAACGGTTGAAATCATATGTAACTATCCTGAACTTCTACCTCTACCAATTCATGATTTTAAACAGCTTTTTTATGTACAAGAAACATAAAATTTCAATTTAATAATGTCTTTTTCCGTCAAATCGATGGAGTTGCCATGGGTAGCCCGTTAGGCCCAATTCTTCCCGATATATTTATGGGATACCTGGAACTAAAGAAGCTTAAGCACGCAATCGACGCTACTACACTCTACTGTAGATACATTGATGACACATTTCTCATCTGTAACAATCATAAGCATGCCATTAGACTACTCAATCTGTTCAATAAAGCATATAAGAATATAGAATTTACTATGGAAAAGGAAGTTGAAGGTAAATTCCATTTCCTTGATATTGAGATCAGACGAACATCTGATGGCACATTGCACAGACACATTCATCATAAAAATACTTGGAGTGGACTATATCTCAATTACTATAGTTTCTGTCCAATGAGTTACAAAAAAGGGTTTGATACGAACCCTTTTAGACCGCGCTCGAAAAATTTGTTCAAAGGAATGCCTGGATGATGAGATTACTCTCATCACTAATGTTCTACGTGAAAATGCGTACCCGTTGAAATTCATCCACAAATATGCAAAAACCAATCCTCAGGCAAAGTATGATAGAGTTGAAAAGAAATCTTGCTTCTTATATCTACGTTTCAAAGGAGATGAAATTGCTGGCTTAATTAATCACAGACTAAATTCCGCGTTGAAAGTTGCCTACCCAGCGGCAAAACTAATGACAGTTTAGTAAACGAACTGCTCACTTAAACAAACTAAAATCGACAAGTCCTCTTTCTTAGTAGCTCCAACTGCATTTATCAATTCACATGTACGTGCCAAAGCACATACATTGGAAGAACTGAGAGAAGAGTGCATGTTCGCATTTCTGAGCATGTTCCAAAGAACTTGAGACTGCGAGGGACTAAGGCTCTTAACAGTGCAATAGCTTGGTATTTACTAGACACCGGGCATACTATTGATATTTCGCAAGCTTTCAAAATTTGTTCTTGCTTTATTTAAATTCATGAAGGGTAATAACTGCATGAAATACTTAGAAGTAGTATTGCTTCTGAATGGTCCATAAATGCACAATATTGCTTCAGTACTGGTCTAAATCAACAACTGAAATAATGGTAAATAGTGAAGTACTAAAGCGTGTCGATCACCCCCTTATGAGTTGTGTTTGATGGAATCTCGGCACAAATTTAGGAAGCTCGGCTACATTTTACCAACTCGTGTCAATTGTGCCGTAGACAAGAGATGAGGCTGCCGACCAAAGGACGAGTTTGCGACGTTCTACTTTGAGTTTGAAACATGCGCATCAAGGATAGAGATCAAAATATTGAACAACTAAGCTGTGATTATTGTAATAATCTTTAGATAGTGTGTCAGTCATCCACATTATTTCATTTAGTATTTTATAAAATCTACTTGAGCTGATGATGTAAATATTTTCGACCTCTGTTTATGGGTCGAAAAGTATGAAACCCTTGTGTTTTCGGAAAGTAGATCATTTAATCTAATTCACATCTTTACTGTTGGAAGATTTTCTAAATATCCAATTAACTTCATGCTTTCGTTTTGTTTCATCATCATCGTAATCTTTTTATTATTCGAGTAAATTGTAGCTTTAATGTACTTTAATGTTGGACATTCGATATCTGTTGAACTGATACATCCATAATTGGGAATTTAATAAATTACTATTAACTGACTAGTGGGGCTAATCCATGTCACGAAGAGACATGTATCTACCTCAGACAATGGAAGATGATCGCGCAATTTCGTGGATTGGTTGAGACTAGACATTAACACCGTTGGATGCCGGCCGGCTCAGTGGTCTAGAAGTTAAGCGTTCTCACTCGAGACCTGTGGCCCTGGGTTCGAATCCCGTGTTCGGGATCCTCGATGTGCACCGCTAGGGAGCCCCATAATAGTACGAAACGGCCGTCCAGGTTTTCAATGGTGGTCCGACATCAATGAATTCATGATTTCAATCAAAAACTGAATAATTGCTGTACTGCATGTTAGGGAAATTAATTAAAACACTTACTGAAAAATTCTGCTTTTGATTATTTAGCTGGTGTTGAGTAGTGATTGATCGGCAGGAAACTGTAGATCTAGGCGAACTAAAGTATTACGTAGTGTGTTCGTTGTTTTGTAGTATACTTTAATTCTGCGATGTTTTAAGATCCTTTGGGTTTCTTCTGTTGTGCCATGACGGTATGGTAGAACTGCAGTACCAATCCATGGCATTTCATTCGAATCATTATTATAACGTAATAAACTGTTTTGTTTTAATATGCTTCTAATAATCTTCATATGAAAATTATTA